TTGTTAGTTCTATTCTATATTCTCTGCACTTTATCAAATATAAACCTGCTCCCCTTTCATGATTAAAAAGCCAGGATTGTTATTTTACAAGACATGCAAGATGCTACTCTAAAGGTTGTTTTGATATTTTTAACTGGAGAGAGGCATGTTTTTACTTCTGCTCTGGGTTACTATGTAAAAAATCATCATCATGAAATATCACACCTCTGAGTTTAAAAGCATGACATAAAAAAAGAAATGCTGTGGAATACTGAGCATCATGACCACCAGCAATACCAAAACCAATAAAAAAATATAAATAAGTAAATTAAATAAGCCCTAAGCCTCCTCAAAGGACCTCTTTTAGGTTAAATCTATCAGAAGATGCCACATTTTTATTCAATACTACAAGAGGCTTGGGGAGTGTCTACCTTCTTTATTCTCTCCCTCTGCTTCCCTTTTGATTTTCTTTTATTTGGGGTTCAACTGCAAAATATCTTTTATTTCTATTACCAAAAAAAGTGGATGCCATTTGCTCATCTGCTCTTCTGTTTGATCAGAATACAGGACTTGGAGCATGTTCTTTGCCTTCTTCCAGCCCTTCTTCACTTGCCCACATCCAGCACTTCTCCAGTCCCCCAGGGGCTCTTGCTGGCCCCACTGACTGCTGCTTTTGCTTCCCTGCACAACAGATCCTCGGCTCTGCAACTCACACTGACTCCTTCATCTCACTTTGCATTTCTCCCCTCTACATTCTACTTTGTTGAAATCAGAAAAGTAGAAAATAATGTAATTTTCTCTTTTGTTCTTTGAATTTGCTTTTTTTTAAAGTTATGTTAGATGGTTAGAGCCTCTTTCTAAGCTCCCTGACACTTATCTGATTTTTGCTGTCCTATACTGCTTGCTGCCATTTAAATCTTCAGCTCTGAGAAAACTGAGCAACTTTATTATTATTGTCATGCTAAATTTACATATAACTAAAGATGGGACTATAATAATTTATATTGCATTATGAATTTAAGCCCAGATTAGTGTTAGTATTTGCTTTGTGTCCATGGTATCCATATACAAATCCATTGAAGCTACAGTTTTAGGTAAATCTCTAAGCGAGTGGGATAGAAACTGGACATGTAGCAAAGACCAATGTGTACATCATTGAAAGGAGACTGATTTGAGCCATGCCATCAGTCACTGTGCTGGGTGTCTTTTCAAGGATCTTATGAAACCCTCACTAAGACCATTGGGATACTTTCTAGAGAATATTAAAATTACAGGTGATATTTAATTTGTCAGTCTTGAATATGAAGCAAATGTCTGACACCACAAAAAACTGATGAGTTGTTCTGTAGTACTTCTGTATGCAACATCCAGGAGAGGTGAGAGAATTCCTGCCAGGTTTCATCCAGGAGTGCCTCCACCACAGATCCAGGGGAAAGCTAAAAGCACATGGCCAGGGCACATGGTATGCCCACAACATACAGTGCTTTTTGTTTCAGGGACTTTTTGAATCAGAGATAATAACTTCATATTTAGCAGTCCTCAGTGGACTTTCCTTCCCTGAATGTGCTCTGTTGTTTATGAGCCCATGTACATTTACTGTAGAAAATGTCCCATGGAGGTTTCATGGCTAGCATTACACAGTATGAAAAAATACATCCTTGCTTTGCTTTGAAGCTGCCTCTTGCTGGTTTATTTGATGGCCATTAAGTTGTGAATTGGAAGAGACGGTGAGTGGGTCCCTACTCATCTTCTCAGTGTCTGTAATGATTCTGCGACACATTGCTGCATTCCCCTCCAGCTGCTCTTTTCAGCCTGAAGTGTTCTGGTCTTAATAAATTCAGTGGCTTCTTACACAAAGTCATTCCATACCTTTAGACATACCTATTTCTTTTTTCTGCACTTTCCCAGCTCTGCTATGGAAATAAAGCAATATTCAATATAAAGGGCATCCTGGATTTATACAAAGGTATAATTATATCTTTTTTTGGGTTTTTTGGGGGGTTTGTTTGTTTGTTTGTTTTTGTTGTTTTTTGGTTTTTTTTTTTTTTTTGTGGTGTGGGTTTTTTGTTGTGTGGGGTTTTTTCTTGTGGGTTGTTTTTTGGTTTTTTTTTGGTTTTTTTTTTTTTTTTTTTTTTTAGTTTTCCAATAGTTGCATAAATTCCATTTTCTTTTTATGGGACTACCAAGGGCTGAAATTGTGTTTTCACAGTTCTGTCTATTATGTCTCAAGGTCTTATTTCTTTTTTTTTTTTTTTCCCTGAGGAATATAACTTCCCTTTTTCATGGAATTTCACCTACCATTTTATCATCCGTTTGTTATTTGTACTCATCTTTTCCACTCTAAAAGTGCCAGCATAATTATAAAATCTTTTCAGCTAACTTTTGAAAACTCTGCAATGTACATATTGAATAAACCCTGGTTATGATTTTGGATTCAGTCAGAGGAAACATGCCTTTAAAATATGCAACTCGGAAAGCTTGGAAGTAATAGTAAGTCCACATGTATCATTGTCTTGAAACAGCACTGACTTATAATGTGAAATAAAATCATGCACACAGCTTACCATTTGTGAATTTGATTAAACAAATCAAAGTTCAGTTTTTCTTCTTGATGCCATTCAAGTAAATGTCATGAAAGGAAAAAATTATCATCCATCAGTGTCCATAAGTAATTAAGAGTTCTGTACTAGTGAAAAAGCTCAGTGAGTAATGAAAATTTAAAATCTATTTTTCAGAATTACTTAAGCTCACCAGAAAGAAATAGCAGGACTACCATACACACTTATACTCTTGGGATACAAATTTTTTATGTCATATGCTTTTATAGATTTAAAGCCCGATAATCATTCTTATATGAACTGTCAATGAAGAACACAGAAAGTGACAAAGATCTAAGAGTAAGTGAAATCATTGCCCAGTTATTTTCACACAGCTATGTGCCTCGTGGTGATGGGAATGACTGGACTGGTGGCACTGACCAGTAAGTCAGGTCCCTTCTGATTTAGAGCAGACCTTGCATTCTCCAGAGCTGAGAGAGATGCTTTTGCAAGCATCAGTGAAATATAGAGCTTGCTGTAGCTTTTTCATAACTTTTGTTATTTACCTCCTGTATATAAGATGTCACTAATGCTGTTCTTAAACATATTTTTAGAATAGCTTTTTCAAGTAAAACTCCTAAATATTTTTATTTGCAGTCTATATAAATATAACTGTTAAATATGGCAGATAAACAGCAGAAATGTGCTATAATATTATTCTCACTTATTACCTAAGTCTCTCAAGAATGATTTTGAACCACTGTCTTTCCATTCAAAGTTTAAAGAACTGTTAAGAGTGTTCAGAAACAGGAATGATTCAAACTTGGGAAGTATATTCTTTTTTTGACTGATGATGAGATACTAAAGGAGATGTCAGTCTGTACAGTTTAACAGAGGACAGAAAAGAATGACTGTTTTCTCAAGTAACATTCTGTATGGTACCAGAAGACAGACTGCAACTAAATTGTAATTTTCTCTTAAAGACTGCACAAGGGGGTTCCAGTTTCTGTATTTATGAAAGAATTTAAAAATAACAGGTTTTATTTTGTTTGACATTCTTGAAGTGAATGCAAGACTGAAGCATTTCTCCACAAGATAATTATTCTTATATAAAGTCAATAAAATTATCTGAAATAGTCTCCTTTCCTATTATCAGTTTAATTGATTAGCAAAGTGTATATGACATGCTGGAGTCCTTTAAATTTTATATTTTTAAAAGATTTTAAAATTAGAACCATTTGAACCTATAGATACCGATGGTTTTGAAAGACATGTACCTTTTATGATAAAGTATAATAAATAATTGATTAAAAAAGATCTGATCATGTATCACTCTAAAGCCACATCCTACACAAAGGAAAACAATTCTAATGTATTAATTCTGTGAAATGCCCTCATTTTGATGTCAAAAAACTAGATTACATTAACCTAATTCACTTATTCTGAAAACTTTAATTCTCTAAGTCTGCTGAGCATTTTTAATAAACTGATATTTAACAGAAGATGGAGCATAGTCAAATTTTTGGAAAAATATTGTTCTTTAAGATAAGTGGTAGAGTGTTTATTATTCAGGAATTCTATATCAAAAAAGTAATACATTTCTTGGCATTCTCATCCTATACCATTTTAATAGATAAAACAAAACCTAAGCTTGTGTAGTTTCTTTATTTGCATTTAAATGCAGCTGTAGAAAAATATTTTCTTGAGTAAATAAGCTTTGAAAAATTTCAGAAACCTGATAAATACTGATTCTGTTAAGGTAAAGTTCCAAATAAATTCCAGTTGTAACTGTAGGCTGGTTTATGAATTGGTTTAAGGAAAAAAAGCATCAGATTTATTGGAATCATTATTATAATTGAACTATTTTGATGTTTATGACAACTGAAAGCAGTAGAAATGTTTAACTGAGAGAAAAACACAATCAACATAAAGAAAAATAATATGCAGTTCGCTAAAATGCTTCTTTAAAAAATTATTCCTCATATTTTTTCAGTCATCTTTACCCCTAAATAAAGAAAAAGAAGGAGAGAAATATTGTCTCTACACATATTTGAAAAATATGTGTGTTTGAGATGACTCCTTCATTAGTCTCTGGAGAAATCTGTTCAAATTCCTTTAAGTTATTTTCTTTAGAAGCCCTGTTCTTTCCCATCTCCTATGATGTATAGGCTTTTAGTCAGAGCTTTTAGTCTTAATGATATTGATTTCACTACCTTGATGGAGCCTGCCCAAGTGATATGTTCTCCCCCCTGTTACAAACATATAATTTTGGAGGAGAAATCATAGTTAAATTTTAATAAAGGATTGCCTGAAACAGAAAGAACTGAGTTTAAATTTGAAGCTTTTTTTCTTACATGTTGAGCTGCCTAAAGCTGCTATCTCCTTTAATTTTTCACCCAAGATTCACAAATAGCTTTTATTCTCACACACCTATGCACACCAGACTATTTTCTCAGATGGATTATATTTCTTCAGTCAAATTGATTTTAACAATATTTTACAATTATCTACAATATTTTAACAAAATTAACAGTATTTCAACAATAACAATAAGAAAAATTTACTCTGAGATCATGGTGAATGAACTCAGATTTCGTGTGGTCCAACAGAAGTTAAAATAGTTTAAAGAAGTGTATTTTTGTTTCACGAACTATGTTTTCAGAGAGATACTGAGGCTTAAATGTGCAGTTATGAAGCTGGTATGTGGGATTGGAAAACAGGATTAATAGCACATGTGAGTATGTTACTGGATCAAATCTTTTTAGCTCAGATGTTTTCATGTATCTTGGCTCCAACAATGTCCAGATGTAAAAATGCCGGGCTGGGGGTTAAGAAATAGTGCCTGTACAAGCTGATCTCTTCTCTGATTCACCCCTGCAGAAGTTTAAGGACTCCCTGTGCTGCTGTACCTGCTCTGTTTTTCTGTTTAATGTTCCCTGATGAACCAATCTTTCAGCAGTCTTCTGAATTTTAACAGACAACATCCTGAGAATTTCAAAGTTGAGTGTGAATTGTGAGAACAGCTTGTGTCACTTTTCAGTCTGGAGCTTGCTCACGTCCCCGGGCAGTTACGTCACAAGGAAGGGATGATTCCTGTGCCCAGTCTCTGTCCCACCTGTTGGCCCCCTCCCAGGCTGAGGAGCTCTGGAGTTTGAGGTTCATCCTAAAGGGGAGACAGGATCATATATTTTATCACATGTCAGTAGACTTATGCTGCTGTAGCTGGATTGATACTAAACTTCAGGGCTGCTTAACTACAGCTGGCATGACTTCACTGCAAAGTCAAACCAGATACTGCAACGCAAAACTTCTCCAATAAAACAACTTCCTATTCTTTATGATCATCAGCTACAATGGAGTTCTTGATATTACTCTCCGAAGAATTTCATATTTCTAAAAGTAATAATTTATTCATGACAATTTGAACCTTATTTTTCTAGCTATATTAAACCTGAAAAATTAGCTCCTACAAAATGAACTTGAGGCAAAATCTATTCTGCTTCCTAGAACCTACTCTATATGTAGAGTCATATGATTAGTTCCTGATTTAAACCTCAATTCCAATCAAAAGCTTGAGGGCAAAGTTGCTCCTTCAAGGTAATTGTCCCAGGAATTTTGAATTCTATTGGTGGGTTGAAATAGTTGGTGTGTTTTTCAAGTTGAAGGAATTAATAAAATCTAGTCTTTTTATGTGTTGGCTCGGAAAGCGGAGACTTCAATCTCTGTAGTAGAAACATTGCACTGAGTCTAAATATTCTTAATTCATATAAACAGACCACTGTTTATAGTTTCTGTGTACTAATTTTAATTAACAGAAATCTCTAGCGGATTTATTTTGAAAGAGCATTGTAAATGAAATTTTTAAGACTAGATTTACTACACCTGACACCAGAATGCAGTTAGACCTGTGAAATTTTACAGTCATAGAGTAAATGTATTAATTTCTGTTCTCCTTGTGTCTCTGGAAACTATTTTGATTCTTAATTGTTAAAATATGCTTTTGAACTGACAGTGAATCCTACAAGAGAGCAAAATGTTCTCCAAATTAAAAGGAACTGAATATTTTGAGGGGCATGCTGGGGAAACAGTCATGCTCTTTACTGAGATTCAAAGCTCCTCCTTGATTACTTGGATAATGTTTTGTACTTGGGTACTGGGCAATGTTTTGCAGATGCAGCAAGCTACTTCCAGAAGAGAGGCTCTTTCCCATGTTGCATGAACTCCAAGGAAAACAGAGCCTTGGTGACCTTCAGAAAGACACTGTAAGCCATAAAACTAACTGCTTAAAACAGTGGAATGTCTGAAGGAGTAAAATGTTGTATGAAACAGATCATAACTTTCTGAAAAATAGAATCCTGTTCAGCAACTGAAAAGTATTTGAAGCCTGACAGGAGGAGACAAATTGACTTCATGGGTTCCTGCTGCTCAAGGGTCCATCTTATGAGTTAGTGACTATCACAGGCCCTTAACCCCACATTTTACTTCTCCTTGGTTAATCACTTGTAAGCTGAACTTAGCTCAAGACTAACTTTGATAAAACACATTTCCAAGAAAGTTGTTCCAGGCAGACACTGAAACTTGTTTTGTCCCACTGGTTACCCACTGAGCTTGTAGCAGTGGTGGGGCAGGTGGGCTGCACAGGTCTTCAGCTCCTCTTGGGTCTTCTTTGCAGGAGCAGATGCTGCACCTCAGGGTGCTAACACAGAGGAGGGAGTGACTGCCAAGTCTTGTGAAGTAAATACACTCTTTCCACTCACTTATAATTGCTGCTTTTCAGGCTCTAAGATAAACAGACTGCAGATGCTATCAGGTAAATGGAAAAATAATTCCTGATCTGTAATATACTTGTTTAGAATTAAGAAATGTTTCACCCATTTACTTGTCAGAAAAAAATAAATTAAAAAAATGTGTCTGGAAATGCCTGCCTTTGTTCCCAGACATTGAGGATTCACTGCTCCTAAGTGCACTGAGCACATCTGAGTAGCCCTGCACAATAGTGCTTCACTACGTTTTTAACAGAAATGAGGCTGCTTACACGAAGCCACCCCCAGAGACAACTATTTTTTATAAATAAATGTGTTCTGAGGCAAAACTTTCATATTCTTTGCCATCTATTATCTATCCTGCCCAGGATGGTAAGACAAATAGCATTTTTTGTCATTTAATGATACATTTATAAAGCACACTCAGTTTGCAAAATTAAAATTTGGAAATTATGACATTTATTGTAAGTGCCATAGTAGCAATTTTACTTGCTTTTCAGGAGGTAGATTTTTTTGACTTTCAGCTTTCTGAAAAATTGATTGCTGGGAACAAAACTGTCTTTGTTTACTATCTTGTCATACTTCCAAGGAAGTTAAGACTGTGATTGTTCAATAGCAGTAGGACCAGTGATGATTTTAGTGCTAAAAACTACTCAGAGGAAAGGTTGAAGGGAAATGTTTTCCATTTGTTAAAAAGAATACTTTAAATACCTCCAAAATATCAAGACACAGTAAAATACACAAGGAGAAACATTTTGGAAATTGTAAATGGTCAGTTTTCCCTCTATCTCCACTTGTATTATGTTTATAAAATTTTGAAGTAATATGAGAACTTATTTACACCTGTTTTTTGGTTTATAGGAATCCAGCATTATTTCAGTATATTTAAAAACAAAGCCCTTAAAAAAAAGAGCATAAAAATTAGTTGAAAAGAAAAAAAAAATGAAACAAACCACTGCTGGATTTGCTAGATGTAAAGTACACAATACACTAAATATGCATCTTCCTAAAAATTCTTGGTACCTCAGCAATGTCAATATGCGTATTCATTTTTTATGGCAAGATTAACAAGGCAATCAAGGTGTATCTAATATTGAACACAAAGAAAAAATTGATACTACAATTTCAGAGAAATTGTCTCAAAAAAGGAGAGTGGTGTGATATCTGGAATAACAAAAGCAGCATTTAAAGCTCTGTAAAGTGTTCAAATTGCAGGGAACTGAAAAAAAAAGTGTAAATGAACACCATCCTCAAAAGTGCAACAGTTGTAGCCTGCCTTTGGTAACAGCAAGAACAGCACCACTAAGGTTCGAAGGAAGGCTGAAGGGGATTTGACACTTATTAGGATATGAATAGGACGTGTTTCCTTTGTATAACACATAAAACTTTTGACCTGGAGCTCAATTAAAATGAATACTTTCTCTACAAGAAGCAGATTAATTCAGCAGAGGATTTGTATGTTTGAAGAAATCTCTTTACCACAAGGTGTGATACTGAAAGATAAATAGTATGTTTCTCATTTTCCTTTTTTTTTTTTTTTTTTTTTTTTTTCTCTTCTAGAAGATAGTGACCTTAAGACCTTTATTATATGGAACTCTAGAATTTTAGGAACCATGTTTTTCAATTATTTTTAAGGAAATAAAAATATACATTATGTATATCCCAAGCCCAAGAGATTTAAATTATGCTCTGGATAAGATGTTGTGAACACACCAACAAAAACTGGGTTTTATCTCTGAGGTAAATGGGCTGAAACAGATGAATGGCAAATTTTCCACATTTGTATCAGACAAAAAACAAATGTATGGAAATGTATGTTTCTTGAGTCAGCTTACTTTTAGTTTTTCAAAGCTTTATAATACATTATAGAAACATGAACAAAACATATTCCTCTTTTACATTTTTTTGTCTTCCTAATTTGAATATTCTGATACAAAAGTATAACAATTATAACAATTTGTGGGAATTTTTTATGCATGCATTAAAATGAGGGGGGTTTTTATGTCTGAATAATATTGTAATAACAAATATTTAAAAGCCAGACTACAGTAAGGTCTTGGTACATTTACTGTAAGTCATTAAGATAACCCAAAGTATTTATTAATTCACCACTCTGTGTAACCTAGGACTAACTGAGAAGTAGTCAGTACTTCATGTAGCTGGGGTTTTTGAGACCAAACACATTGTGGTTTTTATCTCAGACAGATATACAACCCAAAAATGTGTTAGGAAAAGTAAAGATCCATGGACGGGATGACAAATGGGAATGTTTCCTGATTTCATAGTGCTTTCAAATTTCACTGAGCATAGGCACTGCATGCTTTCACTAACAGAACTTATGTAGTGTATTAATTATGAAACAGCTGTTCATTATGATAATTAGGAGAGTAAACATTACATCTTTTTAAAAATCAAAATTTTCATCTCTTGGTGAAAAGACTTGACTTAACTCAGTCCTAGCAAACTGACCATGGGTTCAAGAATAAGGAAGCACCTTCAACCTGTTGGAATGCTATGACACTTTTGTTTTTACATGCTTTTCTTTAACATGAGGAACTATGTCAGTATATTTATACTGTCTATTGATCATTAGAAAAATTCTCAGACATCCCTTTGGCCAAACTTCTTTTGCAAACTGTGGGATGAATGAAGAAGGGAAACACAATTGTATTCCCTGGGATGGTTAGGACCAAATGACTCCATGTTTAGCATTCTTACCCTATGATAAAGAGAAATTGCATCTCAGGTGCTATCTGCTCAGGTTTCCTTGCCTGTGCAAAGTAGAAGGCATAGAAATGCTGACCATAGACTAGGTATGAGCTTTCCATTACATTCCTCCATTACTGCTTTTCAATCCCATGCTGGAGACTGGGGAAGATTCAGGGTATTTTAAGAATTTGACCAATTTATGAAAAATGTGGAAAGGCAGACCAGTGATTTCAGGTAATTTTCAGACATATACTTGTCTATTTGTATAAGAAATATTTATTGAATAGCAAAACTATTTTATGCAGCTCTCAGGATACTATGAATAATTTTAAATGAAACTAGACTGCTGCATTTACTGCTGCATTTCTGGTACTGAAGTCCTCATGGTGCACCTGAGACCTGCAAGTACTCTATCTTACATTTTGATTTTGTTCTTGAGAGAGAAAAGAAAGAATAAAATCAATCTATCTAGACACATATTGCAGGCTGTCAGTCAATGTCATTTAGAAATTTAAACTGCTAGAACATAATACAAGCATATGTCATGTTGTCCTTGCCCTACAGAAGATTATACTGTTTACAACCAGTGAAATTATTTTGGTTGGACACAAGACACACGGTACAACTTACGTGCTCCACCCTACAAAGTCCTCAATGCAGATTACTAATAATTATTTACATTGTGGGTCCCAATACACTGGAATATTTTTTGAAGATACAGTGAAAAAAATACAATACTATATGAAGCATTCAAAATCACAATATTCATAAATCACATAACAGGAAATGGCAACTTTTCTTTATTCACTTTCTCTGCTTATTTGTGCTAAACAGCAAATGGATGGTGTTTTCCATTACATTGCATCCAGGACACAAAAAAGTCAAGCTGTGAGCAGGTTTTTTTCTTTGGTTTTTTGTTTGTTTTTGGTTTTGTTTTTTGTGTTTTTTTTTTTTTTTTTTGTTGTGATTATTAATTACTTTTTTAAAATCTCTTTCCAGGGATCACTGCTTTCTAAGAGCTGTAACTCAAACACTTTTGCTGATAGCATTAATATGTTATTTGGGTTCATAAAACCAGGAAATTCCAATTGTTTCACGTTAAGGAAGAGACCTAAAATTCCAGACAAGCTTCCTATAAATAAAAGAACAACCCCTATTTTTTTTTTCATAGTTCCATTTATTCTGCACGCAGAATCCTATATTTATCTAGTTAATAGCACATTTTTTCTTTTAGAATTAGATACTCAGCTCACATTCTGGCTCTTAGAAATGATCAATAAATCTGTGGTGAGTTTGCATAAGTATTTTTCTCAAATGAATCAAGTCCTTGACTGAGATATTTTAATTGCTATAATTTGAATAACTAATTCCAAGTTCAGAAAATTAGGTGAAGGTAGTATGTGATTAAAAGCTGGTAATGAAGCTATTACCTGATCAAGTAACATTTCATTCTTGGAACTGATTAACTCTAAATGCAAATGAAATTGATCTGAATTGTCAATTTTTTGCTGGATTTATAGTACATCTTTTAAATATTCTGCAACTACTGTTATGCAGCGTACTTGGCCATTTTTATTCTCTGGAAGTTCTGTAAGTTTATATGTCTAACACAAAATCAGAAAAATTCTGCTCCAAACAAGAAGAGTGTCCATTCACGTGCAAAATTTTCTTTGCTCAAAACATTAAGCCAAGATGAAATTTAAACTAACTTTTAGTCAAACGGGAGTTAGTAATTATGCTAACAATTGCTTACTTCACACAGACTATATTGGAATGCAACAAATTTTCTAGTGACAGGATATAAAATTATTGATGAAAAAAGTTCATGATGCTGTGGTATTCATTTGTTTAAACATCTGCTGGTCTATTTTCATAATTTCTAAACTTTTATTTAGTTCTAATGTTAAGAAATAAAGAATGTTAAGAAATAAAGGTGATGGAGCTGTGCACAGAACACTGAAAATTTTGGACCTAGAGGGATCTTTACTCAATAAAATATAAAAAATTGTGAACGTTGATTTTATGTTACCTATGTTACTATGTATAGTGCAATATCCCTCACCCAGGTCATCCTGCTGTTATAATGATCTTCCCACAATCATTTGTACTGACATACAGATCTGCCTCAAAATATTTTTAAATTAAATGGATAAGACAAAAAAAGATTTGGAAAAAGAAATGAAAAATGTATTTGCGGTAGAAGGGGTGGGTAGGGCTGCCTGTTGTCACATTTTCCTCCATTTTCTACTTCTTGGTCTCATCTTTAACTTTGCCTTTCATTTTATTCCCCAGAGTTTTCTGCTACGTACCCTTGGTGCCACCACTGGCTGGACTCTTCCTGCTGTTATTCTGTTCCTGGGAAGGGATAGAGGGGTTACAGAGGTCAGTCACCATCTCAGAACACTTTATCTGTTACCTGATGGGTCCAGATAAGACTTGTTTTCTAAACCACAGTAAGGAAGATCTCATATGCACAATTTTTTCCAGTTATGTTTCCTCCCTGCACTGAGAACCAGCAGATGTAAGGGAAGCCTCTGTAATACAGTATGGCCTCTTCCCTTCCCTTCCCTTCCCTTCCCTTCCCTTCCCTTCCCTTCCCTTCCCTTCCCTTCCCTTCCCTTCCCTTCCCTTCCCTTCCCTTCCCTTCCCTTCCCTTCCCTTCCCTTCCCTTCCCTTCCCTTCCCTTCCCTTCCCTTCCCTTCCCTTCCCTTCCCTTCCCTTCCCTTCCCTTCCCTTCCCTTCCCTTCCCTTCCCTTCCCTTCCCTTCCCTTCCCTTCCCTTCCCTTCCCTTCCCTTCCCTTCCCTTCCCTTCCCTTCCCTTCCCTTCCCTTCCCTTCCCTTCCCTTCCCTTCCCTTCCCTTCCCTTCCCTTCCCTTCCCTTCCCTTCCCTTCCTTCCCTTCCCTTCCCTTCCCTTCCCTTCCCTTCCCTTCCCTTCCCTTCCCTTCCCTTCCCTTCCCTTCCCTTCCCTTCCCTTCCCTTCCCTTCCCTTCCCTTCCCTTCCCTTCCTCAGCAGTTATCATCTGATACATTTGGGTTAATCTAGCTTAAAAACCAATTTTCCTTACACTAATATCTGCTAGTAACTTTTGCCTTTATACATTCATTTAAAGACAATGAACTCTGGTCTTAAGTATATCACCTGGTTTAAGGGTAAAAAAAGTTTTAAAAATAATGCTACTAATTCAAAAGTAGACAAGCTGTATTTGAAATCTTAACAACGAGAATGGTAAAACACATACATTAGAATAATGTAAGTAGAAAAAAATAATAAAAAAAAAACAAACCCAAAAAAACCAGTGATAAAGTACTTTACATTTGTTTTGTGGAGATCCAGACTTGAGGGTTACTTGCAAATTCTTGTGCTCTCTTTGAAAAACTCCTTCATACCCACAGCCACCCACCCACCCACACATTTGTAGTCGCCACACCTGCATGCTCACTCACAATAAAATCTACATTCAGTTTACTACCTATGAACATTTCTGCTTTCTTTTAGAGTGGGAAATAATATTTTCAGCAATTCAATGTATATATCCAGATTTCCCCACCAGACAGGGTCATTGCTGAGTCATCCAAAACATCAAACATCTCTGAGCGTGCTAGGGAGGCCTGCACAACTTAAGATAAAATATGTCAACATCTAAACTCTGCTCTTGCATTTAGGATTAATCCTGTATTTAGAAAGCCATAGTTGCATACATATCTAATAATGGTATTTATCACTGAATTCTAACACAAGCAAGAAATCAAAGTCCTTAGAATAAAAATAGCAGTTAGAGTCACTTCTTGTGCAGTTTGGCACAGAAGTTTCCAAATGATGCTCAGTGCTGGTGTATCCAGGCAACTCAAAGAATATTAAAAAATATATTAAGCACTTTACTTCTTGTATTTGTTTTATCCAGTCCACTTCTAAAAGTTAAGAATGTGTTTCAAGATAAAATTGGGAGTACTAAACATGAGAATGTGGGAAGAACAGAAAAAATGCACTCTAAAAAGTGATATTAAGAGAACAGAGTAATTTTATATCAAAAAACTCCTAAAAAAATATGCAAGCATTGCAAAAGGTGTTCTACATATTGGAAGGGAGGTTTTACTAATCATACTAGTTTCTAAATGTGATATTCCTAACTGAGAAACATTCACTGGTAATACTTAAATTGATGCAACAGGAATCTTGGGCAAGTAACACTGAAAATATCCTTTATTTTTCGGTTGGATTTAATCTATATAAGGAAAAAAAAACAAAAAAAACCCCTCAAATCCCATGTATCAGAAACGTTGGAGAGATTGCACGTTTGTCCAGATGAAATGTGTTATTTTTCATAAGAAGTTCAAAATTATTCAAAACAGAAGTCCTTCCTGAGATAGCTGGGGATGTCTGGCAATAATTTCCAATATTATCATGATTGGCCTACCTACAAGGATGATTTACTTAATTTTTCTTTTATAGCTGTGTTTTTATCCATATATACCAAAAATAAAAATAGGGAGAAGAAAGCCTAGTTTTGGAAAGGAAACTAAATATTTGTGAACAATTGGAACTAAAAACCATCCACTGTAGCAAAATTCATTCTAACATTTTTAATGACAGAAAAAGTATAAAGGTTCTATCTTCATTATGCAGACAGAATAACAGTACTAGAACTATTGAAACAATTTATCACATGAGGATATTTTCATGAGAGGGGAAGAAAATCATCATGGCATTATGTAGGATTTGCAAATGATCAACCTACAGAGATTCTGTGACAATAATAGCAAACAGAGACATAGCAAACTGTTCTACATCAACCTGACAGTAATCATGAAAGATTGCTGCACGAATACAGATAATTATACAGGAGAGACTGTGCTGTCTGTAAATAAGGTGGGTAAGCCTATCTCAGGTTCTGAGCTGTACAGATATTCTGTTACATACCAAATATGAATTTTAAGAAATGTAATAGAAATCAGAAAATATATCCTGACCATTTTATTTATAAAAAGGACATAATTCCTTCTCCAAAAATAATTTCTAATTATGTAGCAAAACTGTATAAGAACCTACATCATGGTTCTCTAAATAAGCCATAAATACGCAATAAATAAATAAATTCCTATTTACTTTTACATACTTGTCATCTCACATTAAGTCTAAAGTAGGGTTATCATTAGGATGATAAAATTTTTGCCAAACTGAAGGAAAAATAATTTATTCTTCTAATAATTTACAGGAGACAATAATGCTATATGGTCTACAAATTATGCAAATATCTTAGATGAACATGCTGCATACAAGATACATGCAGTTTTCTTGGGCAATGGTTTTACCACTTACCATTGCCATAAAATGGCAAAATTATTAGATCATGGCTCAGTATGCTAAATATCCATCAAGTAAAACAATACAGAGTAAGTGATGTTAAATGTGGTTTGGTATCACATCAGCATTTCCTTCACAAATCCAAATCCCTATGCTCTTGCTTGCTGTAGAGTCAGACATCCCAAAAATGCAAGAGTTCCCTAATACAAGTTCTGCTTTTGCCACTGATATTACTATATTCTGGTTATAAGGGATCTATTTCAAATTTAAGTGTTATGCAATAAGAATAAAGCTGGAAGAGCCTAGGCAATGCCTCCAAATTAATTCTGAAAATTACTGAGCTTCTTCCAACATTTGTAAATTCTAAGAAAATATGTCTTATCTGGATAATAAGAAATCCCCAGGCTGGCTAAGATTAGCCAGTAGCATTGTACACTCATTTTCAAAGGAGGAAATGTACTAGAGACCATCACAAAGAACACAATGAAGGGAGACTATAAACTTCTCTGTAAGTCTGTGCTAAATAGGTGATGATATTTTCTTATCTAATGCATGTGATAACAGTTATAGTATATAGTATAGTTTCTGGAATTGTAAGCTGCTTTCTTCTTGCAAGGCTTCAATGTGAGCTAATCCTTCTCCTGTAGATCAAGTAGTCAGTATGACACATAAATGACTAATAAGTGCAAGAGTAGAACAAGAGAAATGTGTTTGTTGAAATTAGCACTATATCAATCACTTATTCTTGACAAGGTGTGAAATAGTTAATACCTTTCCAAAGCAGATTTTAAGTACAAAAAACCAGCATGGCTCTCTAAACCTAGAATTCTCTGGGAACATATCTGGTTCAGCACTAACAATACATAAAAAATAGACAGCCCAGCTACAGAAATGGAGGTATTTAAGAGATGAATCACTGGAATGTGTGTGTATGATGTTGGTTTCTCCAGGTGTGCACAGTCACATCTTTTGATGCAAAACCAGAGATGATTGGAAAATGACAGATATTGTACCCGTTTGCCTCACCTGTCCACGTGGGTCAGCGCTGAATTTCTCATTTAGAGTAATTCTGGAAAATCCATCATTTTATAACAGCACTGCCCACATGGTAGATACCCTGCAATTGAAGTGTTATAAATACATAAATGCTTTCACAACATAAACCTTTATAGTGCTGCACACTAGGTCTTTAAATATCCTTCACTGTCAATGCAAATATTTGAGTATCACATGCCCAGCTATGGAATTATACAACAATAATACAATGCAGCAAGAAGTACAAATTATTCACTAGAGTTTTCAGGAAGTTTTAATAAAATATGCATATTTCTTTCTAACTTTAACTATGTTTTCTCCTTTTCCTAGGCCCCATCCTTTTTTGAACATAGAGTCTTGAAATAGTTCTCCATGTTATTCCATTTTTCAGATAGTTGCCAAGTAGGGATGTTAACAGTTGCAGTGACTCAAAACAAAAAAGCTTCATCAGTGTTAAACAAGAAATTGTATTTTGGAACCTACAAGCTCTCTGGGTCATAAATCTTAACTAAATTTGCCCCCTTCAAATTCAGCCTCTGATTCTGGAAATCTAGTGAAGAGTGTGGTAGCTTAATAACTGCAGTATAAAATGGAAGGCATTCCCAGTTCTGCCTTATAATAAGTTCTGTGACCTAGGGTAACTATTTAAATTCTGAGAGTAGTTTTTTTTTCCTTTCTTCCATTTGTTTTCTGTAAGGGGTATTAAAAATTATATACATATATATATATGTGTATGTATGTATATATACACACACATATCTGTGAATTTTTTTGAGCTCCTAAACTAGCAAATCTTATGGTTCTTTTCTTAGAGGAAAGCCAATAGGGTGATGTAATAGTTTTTATCAACTTTCACATCTATGAATATATGAATAATTTGGTACTTTACTGAGATAACAAGGTTTAGTTCATTAGCATAAGTGGGCCCAAATGAGAACACAAGTATAAAGAGGGAACAGGAAATACAATCCAGCATCTCACTCAGTGTAAACTGGTATTGTCTAATTCAGGACACTGGTCTCAGGGACACTGGCACTAGGTAACACAGAAATTAGCACAGCCTGGGTATATTTGTGAAATAGAATGGATATAATCAATGAGTTAACTCAAGACTTATGGCAGGAGAAGGGAGAGGAAAGTATGCTCTTTTCTATAAGCAGGAATACAGGTGAATAATTCATGACATATATTTTGTGTATTATATTTGATCTATTTTTCTGGGCACTATTTGTCTGTATAAAGGCCTTTATTTTCTCCAATGTATTCATCATTCACTGTATCATTTCTCTGAGAAATTTTTACTCAAAAGATTGTCTGTTAGAAGTTTATTGCAAGCATTCATTATTCAAAATTTGTGCTGTTCATCATCAAAATATATCATCTAGTATATTTTTGCTTCTTTGCTTGATGATTGATTATGCATAATTCTTAGATTTCCAGTGTGAACCATGAATTGAAAACTTGCTTTCCAAGTTTATTATTAAATACCATTTATTTGTTGCTGTGTCAATAAATTTAAAAAATATTGTAAGACCCATGAAGATCTCAGACAAATGGGTGCAGCACTTTATGTAGTATAATTTATCACTGAAGCTACATATCTGTGAAGACATTATATTTGCACTATGGTGATCTCTATGTTTATCAAGTTTACTTATATAGATGTTTGCCCAGTTCTAATGTTACTTTGTTGGCATTCCTTAGAAGATTGTCAGTAATAAAGGAAATTATATGCATGGTCATTTGACTTGTTTTACCTCTGTTGCTGACCAAAACAGGAATTTTCTCAAGGTGAAGAAGGCCTGCATTAGCAGCACATGACAATCCTTTAAATTCTATAATGTCCTATTCCCTAATATACATTTTTTAGTGCCAAAGTCTAATTTTCCTTACTTATATGAAATTTGAACTGAAATTCTGACTGAAATTTCTGAAGGAAATTCTGAAATTTTTAACAGCTGGGAGAGAAATAGACTGTAGTTGTTCATGGAATAAAAGTAAGTAGAAAAGAAGCATCACAGCTACCTATGCTGGTAGACATAGACTTAATAATCACCAGAATTAAATGTTTTACTTTAATTTTGTCTCATGATATTCTTCTAAAATGCTTCTCATGGAACAGCTCGATTTCCATGATTTCTGCCATATCAATCAATATTTTGACAGCGCATTTTAGTTGTATCATGTAAGTGATAACCCAAATGGAAGTTAACCCAAAGATTTTCTATTCCAAGTCCTTTTCTGAAGTCATACTCCAAAACTGCACATGCCAGGTTCTTCCTTCAACATTTATTTTTGTGCCAGCTCCTCAGCACTGCTGGATTTTAACAAGGAGTTAAGAAAATCTTTTCTTTGGTAGCCTTTTCCTCTCAGTCCTGAATAGTCACTAGTTGAGGGACCAGGCTCACTGGCATAGTGTGAAAAATTGTATTGCATTTGTGATAATACATAATTAGCCTATGTTTGAGGATCAAATTGGGATAACTGCATCTCCTGTAGCATTCCATTTTTATTAACATGCTGCAGAACTGGATATAGACATTTATTTCTTGAATAGTCCTAAGATTCTTTTGGGCAAATGATGAACAAAATGGCTTATGGCTTTGACTATGTTTGTGTGGCAAATGCTGCTTGAGGGCATCACTTTAATCTTTCCTTTAAGACAATTAAAAATACAACTCTATTGTTATATGCCCACACATTGAAAACCTAGGAAGGGAGTGTTCTGAGGAAGAAGCTGCATTAATGGTATTTGCAAATTAGCATTAAAAGTCTTTGTCAATCATGGCATATTCTATTAACATGCTTATCATCCCAGTAGCAAAGCAAAATGAGGAAAAAAGTCCTGGTTTGGTGAAAAATCAGTCATCATTTCCCTGGGGCTTGATTTTTAAAGATATTTTTATGAGTTTGAGAGAAACTGGTTTTATATTCAAAGTCATTGAAGTTTCTTATCATATATACTTATCAGTGCAACCCTGAGTAACCTTGTTGAAAGTGGTTGCATAAATTATGTACATAGAAGTTTTCCTAGGTAGGTCTAAATGTAGTTATATTATAACAGGAAGAAATCAGTCAAACAGTAACATTAACACTCATCTTGGAGCAATGCACCAACTTCAGAAAGTCAGCTCAGCATAAACATTGTTTCTTTGAGTCATCTCAGTTGTGAACAAGCTGTCAGAAGAAGTGGAAAGAACTGAAATTCTTTCCATCATCTAAAAAATACATTGCACATTGAATAAAAGAATTTTATTCTGTATAAATTTAAATTCTGTATGAAACCTGTGCATTCAATGTAAATATATTATAGAAGCCTGCTAATTCTAATTAACCTTGTCACATATAATTCATTAAGATTAAAAACCTTGTAATTACAAGTGTTTTTCAGACTACCCAGAAATCCACTTATTGCAAGGACTGATGTACCTATCTAAAAAAACTTGAAAAATTGAAGAAATCTGACATACAGAGAACAATGAGAAGGAAAAATACTGGGTTTTTTTTTGCTGAGATTGGAAGAAAAACCAAGAGCTGAAAAACTAGAGAGCAGGTTTTGTTTCTTCACATCCTCTTTTTTTTCATCTATACAAACTGTCTACCTCTTTGGGACACCATAATCCTCATCTGTATTGAGCCTCTGATCTTAGGTTTTTTTTTCTTCATTCTGGTGCTCCCTGTGGCTTAGGGCTTGGTTGAAGTGCTGCTGAAATAAATCCCTGTGAGCTGAGCCAGTCCTGGCTGCCTGCTGCTGCAGCTGGGGGGAAGCACCCATGGGGTCAACACTGCTGGAATCCCCAGGCATCCAGAGAGACTGCTGGAGTTGTGCTGGGCAAAACAAGTGTCTCACTGAATTAAGCTTGGTGCTTGATGCTTACTTGCTTGCTTGAAAGTGGGGGGGGGGGGGGGGGGGGTGTCTTCTGTCCTTTCTGTTGTTTGTATTTGGAGTTAGGATTACTCGGCAGCATTGAAAATAGCTCTTCATGTGCCGTGTTGTGCAATTCTTTTGTGCAATTCTTTCAAGTATCAAAGAAAGAACCTTTAACTGTGTGTTACAGGTCTAAAAGCATTATTACTGCTTTTGTGAACATCAGTACAAGTTTCCAATGAAACACTTTTAACTTATGAGTAATACATATACAAAATTACTAACATCCCAAGTTTTTACAGGGCTGGTCTGAGCTGCCATAGGATTTTAACAGACAGCAACCTTTTTGATAACCCTGTGTATTCAGATCCTTTTTTCCTCCTTTCTTCTCAGTTTCAAACACTGCAGCTTTTTAGTCTCCTGCTGAGTCTCACACATTTCATTTTCCATGATTCCTCACATCACTTATGCAGTTTCTGCCTTCACCATCCGTCTATTGTTGTGCTGCAGTCATTGGGTCTTCCTTTCTCGCTGGTCATCTCTGTGAAGTCTTTGCCTTTCAACTGTCACTTTTGGAACTCTTCTCCACTTGGAGATAGTTTTTTTTCACTCCAGTGTCTGTTTTGCTCTCTGGGAAGACAGTTCTTTCATCTCTGTCATCTGGTCAGCTCCCCACTTGAAAGAGCAGTCTCAGTTCTCACTCCCACAAAGTCTTTTGAAGGAACAAGTTCAAACAATGACCTTCCATGCCCTACTGTTGGGCCAATCTCTTTTCCAGACAACTGGATGCTTTTCTTCTCCCTGTACACTGATTTTATCCATAGAATATTTTTCTCTCTTCTTCCACTGATTTATTCAACTTATGCCCACCTCCCAACACCCTGACTATTCAACCTATTAGTCTGAAGGGCACATAGCCACAGTTTCACTGACATAAATGGGTTAAATTTTTATTACAAAGTCATAGTTACTATTACTTGATGACCCCCGTAGCTTGCTAAACAAGAAGATAATTTGTGCCAGATTTTTCAATAATAGAAAATAATACAGATCAACATGTAAAATCATGTTGCGATCACACCAGAAAACAGGTGCTTATTTCAAGACCTGCCTCTGAGGCTGAGGTATTTTTTGCTTCTAACTAACTCAGTGTGAAAAAACATTTTATGTATCTCTGGGGAATTCATAGAGTATGCTCCCTTAAACTTTTATGAAACACCTAAAATCTAGAATAAAACCTGTGATGATCC